GTGTGTGTAGACTCTTTTTTTTCTTGATAAGTCTGGCTAGGCGTTTATCTATTTTGTTTATTTTCTCAAAGAACCAGCTCCTGCTTTCATTGATTCTTTTTTTTTGTTTTATTCTTCTCAATTTTATTTCTGCTCCAATATTATTATGTCCCTCCTACTTACTTTGGGCCTGATTTGTTCTTCTTTTTCTGGTTTCATTAATTATGGGTTTAGATTGTTCATATGGGATTGTTCTTCTTTCCTGAAGTAGGCCTGTATTGCAGTAACTTCCATCTTAGCACGGCCTTCACTGTGTCCCACAGGTTTGGCAGTGTTGAATTATTGTCATTTGTCTCCATATATTACTTTATCTGTTTTTATTTGGTCATTGACCCATCAATTATTTAAGAGCATGTTGTTAAGCCTCCATGTGTTTGTAAGCCATTTTGATTTCTTTGTACAATTTCTAGTTTCATACCTTTGTTTTCTGAGAAGCCAATTAGTACAACTTCAATCTTTTTTTATTTACTGAGGCTCTTTTCGTGGCCTAGTATATGATTTATTCTTGAAAAAGTTCCATGTGTACTTGAGGAATGTGTATCCTGCTGCCTTTGAGTGGAGTGTTCTGTAGATGTCTGTTAGGTCCATCTGTTCTAATGTGTTATTCAGTGCCTGTCTCCTTATTTTCTGTCTGGTTGATCTGTCCTTTGGAGTAAGTGGTGTGTTGAAGTCTCCTAAAATGACTGCATTGCAAGCTATTTCCCCCTTTAATTCTGTTAGTATTTGTTTCACATATGTAAGTGCTCCTGTGTTGGGTGCATAGATGTTTATAATGGTTATATCCTGCACTGGACTGACCCCTTTATCATTATGTAATGTCCTTATCTCTTCACTTTGTTTTGAAGTCTAGTTTGTCTGACAGAAGCACTGCAACTCCTGCTTTATTCTTCCTATTAGTTGCATGAAATATCTTTTTCCATCCCTTCACCTTTAGTCTGTGTATGTCTTTCGGTTTGAAGTGAGTCTCTTGTAGGCAGCATATAGATTGGTCTTATTTTTTTATCCATTTGGTGATTGTATGTCTTTTGATTAGTGTGTTCAGACCATTTACAATTAGGGTGATTATCTATAGGTATGTACTTATTGCCATTGCAGGCTTTAGATTCATGGTTACCAAAGGTTCAAGGGTAACTTCCTATCTAACAATCTAACTTAACTCACTTAGTATGCTATTAAAAACAGAATTTAAAGGTTTTTTTCTTTTGTTTTCTTCTTCCTCCATTCTTTATATATTAGGTATCATATTCTACACTCTTTGCCTATCCCTTGACTGACTTTGGGGGTAGTTGATTTGACTTTGCATCTGCTTAGCAATTAATTGTTCTACTTTCTCTGTGGTTTTATTTCCTCTGGTGACAGCTATTTAGCCTTAGGAACACTTCCATCTAATACTGTAGCACAGTCCCTCCACAGTACCCTGTAGAAATGGTTTCTGGGAGGTAAATTCTCTCAGCTTTTGCTTACCTAGAAATTACTTAATCCCTCCTTCAAATTTAAATGATGATCTTGCCGGGTAGAGTATTCTTGTTTCAAGGCCCTTCTGCTTCATTGCATTAAATATATCATGCCACTCCCTTCTGGCCTGTAAGGTTTCTGTTGAGAAGCCTGATGATAGATAGCCTGATGGGTTTTCCTTTGTATGTGATCTTTTTTCTCTCTCTGGCTTTTTTAAAAAGTTTGTCCTTATCATTGATCTTTGCCATTTTAATTATTATATGTCTTGGTGTTGTCTTCCTTGGGTCCCTTGTGTTGGGTGATATGTGCACCTCCATGACCTGAGAGACTAACTCCTTCCCCAGATTGGAGAAGTCTTCAGCAATTACCTCCTCAAAGACACTTCTTATCCCTTTTTCTCTCTTTTCTTCTTCTGGTACCCCTATAATGCAAATAGTTCTGTTCAGATTGGTCACACAGTTCTCTCAATATTCTTTCATTCCTAGAGATCCTTTTCTCTCTCTGTACCTCAGCTTCTTTGTATTCCTCCTCTAATTTCTATTCCATTTACTGTCCCCTCTACTTCATCTAATCTTCTTTTAAATCCCTCCATTGTATGTTTCATTTCAGATATTGTATCCCTTAATGATTGAATCTCAGTCCTGAATTCACCCAAGTTCTTGAATATTTTTCTATACCTCCATGAGCATGTTTGATCTTTACTTGGAAATCTCTTTCAGGAAGATTGATGAGTTCAGTTTCACTTGGCCCTTTTCCTGGGGTTTGTGGGATTTTGGTTTGAACCAGGTTCCTTTGACATTTCATATTTGAATGTGGCAGCATCTAGTGTCCAGAAGCTCTACTCTTTGGAGCTGCTTAGCCCCTGGAGTGATGTTGGAGGTCACAGGGGAGCCACGCTGGTGCCTGGGTGGGATGGGGGAAAGAGCTGTTTCCTGCTTTCTGGCTGCTATTCCTGTCTCCAGTGCCAGAGCCAGTGGGCCAAGCATACAGGTGTAAGCCTCTATGCTTTGCGTTTGTAGCTGCCATAGGCATGGCCTCCCTCTGGTTGGCCTGATGCCAGGGCAAGGGCTGGGGGTTTGCGAGCTGGTGCTGGTTGGCAGGGAGGTAGGCGCAGCAGGCTGCATATCACGGTAGGGGCTTTGGTGCTGTGTAGCCAGCCAGGGGGCTGGAGTGCCTGAAATTCCTGAAGGTTTCCAATCTGCTGGGCAGAGTGCACCCAGACAATTTTGTCCACTTGTCCTTTCTCCTCAGCAGCAAGCTCTGTGCAATCTTTGCCCCTTTAGCAGCCCCCTGACTGTTAGGAAGTCTCTCAGACTCCCTGCCTTTCTTTTGTCCCATAGCAGCTGGATGTGGATCCCTGTTTTCCATAAGCAGTTGGAATCTCAGTCTCTCCAAGTATTCCATGTGTTAGCTTTCCAAGCCCACTAATCTCCAGAGCACCATGCAATGCAGGTTTGTGCTCCCAAAGCAGATCTCCAGGGCTGGGTGTTCAGAAGTCCTAGGCCTCCACCCCCTCCCCGCTCCATTTCTCTTCCTCCCGCAGGTGAGCTGGGGTGGGGGAGGGGTTTGGGTTCCGCCAGATCACAGCTTTGGTGTTACCCTGTTCCGTGAGGTCTGCTCTGTTCTCCAGGTGTGTGCAGTCTGGCGCAGCCCTCTTTCCTGTTGCTCTTTCAGGATTAGTTGTATTAACTGTATTTTCGTATTATATGTGGTGTTGGGAGGAGGCCTCTGTCTCACCTCATGCTGCCATCTTTAATTCTCCTTGGTGGTTTTCTTCACACAGGCCACACAGCTGTCTCTCCAGCTTTGTCCCAGGTATCACATGGCACACGAAGGGACTGCGACCAAGACACGTCCCGTGTATCCTCAGCACCATGCCATGCACAGAAACGGCTGTCAGGAGGTGGGCCACAAGTTACTTCTAACAGCCTCTCACCAGAATAAGCCCCAGTCAGGTCTAGAATTTTCAGGTAACAATATAAGTAATAATATGCAAGAGTGTTTCCTGCAACATCATTTGTGATGACAGAAGACTGCACACACACAAAAACCCTTTGTACATAAATAAAAGGGTCTGGTTATAGGAATCCACAGAATGGAATCCTATTAGAATTTTAGGAGAAGAATTAGGGCTATATTTACCTATTCTGATATGAAGAGATCTCTAAGATGGAGTTTTAAGTAAATAAAAAGCAAGATAAGTGAAGATCAGACAAGTACTAGGGGTCATACACAAGAGCAAAATCACGATACCAGTGTTTTAACATTATGTGAAATAAATGGGTTAAATAAAGCATTTATTAAACTATTCAGAATTCATGAAGGATATCATGAAACTAAATATTGAACACATCTCTCATATAAAAATGTATGCAACATTACAAGGTGTGGCTCTGACTTCAGAGCTACCAGGTCCTTGGGGAGACCAGGTGTGGTTTCTCTCTGCCCACCCATCACACCATCTCCCCCTGACCCTTCCCATCTTTATCCTGCTCTACAGTCTCCCCCAGCCAGTGGGGACAGGTGGCAGCAAGCAGGAAAGGGGCCCAGGATAAAGGTGGGGGTGGCAGCTGGAGCACAAGGCAGCAGAGCTATCACTAAGTCATAAGCAGAAACCTCTAGAAATTTCCTAGGAAACATTAACAATGGCTCTTTCACAGTGGTTCTTCTGAAGAGTGTCAGGTCAACTTTATCTCACAAACCCACTTAATGTTTTGGTAGAGAGAGCCTCAGCAGGCTGCCCTCACACTGGGTTACTCTGGAGGGCAGACAAAAACTGTCCCCTCTGCGGAACGGTCCTGGAGATGGGTGGGGCAGGGGAAGAGGGCACGGCCTGCTTTCCTCTGCAGCTAGGTCTTCTAGCCTGGTATGTGTGATCTTATTTGTTCTGCATGTGATGAGGCTGGTCCTGGGGCACGCCACTACAGACAGCCCTGGTAGCTGCTAGGAAGAGCCACCGTCTAACCTTCTGGACAGTTTGTCTTGGTTTTTAAACAGAATTGGGTTAAAATTTTACCCTGGTCTGTTTTTTTTCTTTCCCCTCATTTCACTTGCTGATGTGAGATGTTTTGTGAATGGGTTGGTTATTTAACTAATTTCACCTGATTAAAATAAAGGTTAGAGTTATCACTGGTCACAGTAAATCAGTGTCTTAGTATGTGGCTGGTTCCAGTCAGTAGTTAATAGCCTGGGATTCCATGTGAGCATGCAGACAGTATGGGGATGTTTAGAACAATTCCCTCTTCCAGGTGACCACATGTAAACTTATTTCCGTACTTCTAAAACAACTGATTTACATCCTCAGTTTGTGGTGTCTATTCCTTCTGAATCCCTCATTTAAATACTTCATCCATATCTTTTTTCTAAGTAAATGATGTTAAGTCAGGGCCACCTGTAGGTGGGTCAGTGACCCCTCCCCGGATGGGCCAGCTTGTGCTGTGGCTCTCACCTGAGCCCACCCACCATGGCCACCCACCCACTGCCCTCTGGTCCAAGTGCACCCGCACCTTTCCCACACTCAGCACACAGGTACTCCCGGATGTTGTCATGCACGCGCATGTGCTCCTTCAGCATGTCCTTCCTGGCGAAGGACTTCCCACACTGCTCACAGGCATGGCTCTTCACACCTGAAGACAAACAGCAAATTTCCAACCTGCACACACTGCCCTGGTATTAGAGGGAAAGGCCGGAGGGAAGCTGGCCTCCACTTGCAGCTGAAATAGTGGCAACGGAGCCATCCGTCCTCGGCCTCCCTGGAGCCTTCTCTCGGGCTCTCTGGCAGTGAGCAGGTGGGCCGGCCACTTGGGCCCACCCGCCGGCTGGGGGCCAGGCTACCTGTGTGGATGAGCTTGTGCCGCTCCAAGTTCCCGATGCTGTTGAAGATACGCCCGCAGATCTCGCAGGGGTGAATGTACCTGGAAGCAGACATGGGCTCAGGACAGCCGCGCAGCCTCGTGGGACTGCCAGCAGCAGAATGCACTTCCGAGGGGAGTGTTATCAGCAAAAGTGAGGCAAAAAGGTGCTTGGCACATGACAAGAGGCACACAGATTTTAGTCTCAGTTATGGGCTGAATTGTGTTCCTGTCAAATTCCTGTTGGTGTCCTGATGGACAGTCCCTTAGAATGTGGCTGTTTGGAAACAGGATCTTCACAGAGGTCATTACGTTAAAAAGAAGGTCATCAGGATGGCCCTAATCCAGTATGACCGCTGTCCTTATAAAAAGGAGAAATTTGGACAGATACTCACAGACCAAACAACATGGGAGGACATGGGGGAAGGACATGGGGGAAAGACAGTTATTTATACCAAGGGGAGAGTCAGGCGCAGGTGCTCTCAAGACCTCAGAGGAACCAGCCCTGTTACACCTGATCTAGGACCTACAGCCTCCAGAACTGAGGTAACACGTTTCTGTTGTTCAAGCTGCCAGCCTGCGGCACTTGGTGATGGCGTCCATGCTGGCTACCGTGGCCTGTGAGGGGGACCATGCACTCACTAGTGGTCCTGACCAGGAGCCACAGGCAGATGTGACACCAGCATTCACAGGACCTAACTGCTGTCCTGCAGGCAGGCCAAGAACCATGTTTATTCTGTAACATGTCCTGGGAGAGGACTAAATACAGCCAACCTGGCAAGCGTGCCTGAGGCCCCGGCGTGGGGCTCCAGGGGACACAGGTTTGCCCCCAGCACCTGCCTTTGCAAGGGAATGCACCCTCCCTCCGCACCAGTCCCCCCAGCCCCGCCTCACTTCTGCACGTTGGGGTCAGGCAGGTTCTCGCGGTGGATGACCATGTGGGCATGGTAGGTGGCCTTCAGGGCAAAGCGCCGATTGCAGATGCTGCAGCCGTAACCCTTCTCCTTGTGCGCGTCCATGATGTGCTTCAGGTACCCCTTCCCCCGACCGAAGGTGAGCTGCGAGCAGGTACAGTGTTCACGCCAGCACACCGGCCTCGGCCAGTGCCAGCACTGCCGTGCACCAAGGCGCCCAGGATGCCCTGTGCAGCCCGCCACCCGGCTGGGAGAGGGCCAGCTCCTCAGGGCGGTGCCACCATAACCACCAGTCGGGGGTTAAGAGGCTGACCATGGCTGCTCCCAGCCTCGAGCAGGCACGGCCCATGGGGTACCCTGGGAGGGGACACCCTCCTGCCCAGCCCAAGCCTCTGGGTCCAGCAGCCCTGCTCTCTGAACTTCCTGTCCAGACAGCCCTGCACCCGAGGCAGCAGTCAGTTACCTGACACCTTTTGCAGCTGTACTTGTGAGGCTCGGAGTCTGCACTCTCATCAGAATTATCATCGTTTTCTTCTGAGGAAATCCCGATCTTGCCAATAAACTCTTCCCTTTGGTGGTCATCCATCAGCGCAATGTCCTGGTAACACAGGTGTCTGGTTTTCATTACACGTGGAGGGCACTCTGCTGGCTTAGTTATACTGCAGGACAGTGAGACTCGCCCACATGGAGAAGCCAGCGCCGCTCTGCAGAGTAGGAAGGCCCACCAGCTCCCACTTGTCACATCCCTTATATGACAGGCAAGGGACCAGATACAAACAGTCCCCTCAGGTCCCCACTTCACACCCCACCTTCCTGACATAAAACCACCAGGCTCTTGCTGCATCCAGATAATGCCACAATGCCTAGGGCTGATGCCCACTGAGGGTTGAGGGTGGGGGCAGCAAAGTTGATGCAAGTTCCCACCCCATGTCCCTGGGTTTCATCCCAGCCCAGGCAGTGCTGCCTGGACTCAGGAATGCCTAACATCTGGCCTTGAGGTGGAATCTGTGGTCAGTGGGCTCTAAGGCTTCTTTCCTGTGACCTGGCCAGGATTGTCCTAAATTCCAGGATGTTGTCTGAAAAAGACTGCAAGATGCACCTTGGTAGGCATCCAAAGGGCCAGAGAAACTAAGGATGCTGAGCTGGGCGGGGACCAGCCGAGAAGCCAGGAGCAGCCCTGCTGAGCGCAGCTGCAGGGAAGGAGGGCCTGCTCGCTGGTGCCCCAATTCTTCTTCCCATGGCTACAGGGCCTGTGGTCCACTCTCCTCCCTGCTACCCATTTTCCGGCAAAGCCTGCCAGGGTGCCAGGTTTCCTTCTGAAGTAAAATTTAAGGGGTGAGAGCAACTGCCTCTAAAAAGTCTGTTGTCCCCTCATCCCAGCCCCTCCTGAAGCATAAGGTTTCACAGAGACCTACTGTTCATTCCCTCAACTACATCATCTCACAGCCATTCAAATTCAGTCCCTTTCTGTCTCTCCCACTAGCAAAGAAATGGCAGTGTCCATTCGAAAGCACCCAGCCGAGATTGCACCCCCGGCTGGGGGCCACGCAGCCACAGGCACTCGCACCGGCCAGGCCCTGCACCTCCACTGGCCCTGACTTCCCCTGCAGGAACCCCTTGCTGCACAGGCCTCAGGGCCCCCACTGCAGACAGAGCGGTGGGGGCTCAGGACGGCTGTGGGACTGGCACATCAGGTCCCAGCAGGACACAGCGAGCGGGTCCGCAGGGGTCTAAGTCCCTCCCCTCGAGGCTCTCGGCTCCCCCTGGGCCCTTCCTTCCACCTCAGGTGGGCTCACGTGGCCTGGCATCTGCATTGGGAGCCTCCCACACACATGCCTCACCCCCGGGGCTGGGAAATGCCGGGGACAGTCGCTGCACTGAAGGCAGGCATCTTGGGTGGGTGTGCTTTTCCTCTTCATCTGGGCCTCGGCACTGCCTATCATCTCTCCCTGTATTGGCGCTTCTCCTGCCCATCATGACCCCACTCCTTGCTGCGACCCCCAGCTCCTACCAACTCCTCACTCCCCTCAAGGGCAGGGAGGGAGCACATGCCCCCATCCCAACCCTTGTTCTTGCTCCCGGGAAGTGCCCAGTCTGGAGCCCCGCAGGTAGACTGCAGGAGATGCAGCCGAGTCACAAGGACTCCTTTGGAGAGAGGCAGGTGGGCAAGCCAACAGGTGTGTCAGGACGCTGACCCGTGGGCCTGCCGCACCTCCGCATGACTACCCAGGGAAGGGCAACGCTGGCCGACACCTTGAAGTGGACGTGGATGTGGTCCCTGAGCACATCCACACGGAAGAACTTGCGCCCGCAGATCTCGCAAGTGTATTTCTTGTCCCCATGTGTCAGGAGGTGCTTGTTCATGTTGCTCCTGCAGGAGAACACCTGGGGGCAGAAGAGCTGAGCATGAGCAGCCTCCCATGTGGAAGTCATGCTACACACGTAGAAGGCTTACCTGACAACCGTAACCAGGCCCCAAAATGCAGCATGTTCCCCCCAAAGCTTAGTTCCAACAACTCAGGGGTTGAGACACAAATAACCACTTGGTGCTAGAATTACGATCACTCACTTCACCATTTAAACACATGCTTTGCTCTAACACAGTCTTCACTGTAAATACTACCCAGTCACTTGAATATTTCACTAGGATGGGGCCTACAAAGAAGCCAGGACATCACAGAAAGAGCTGCAGTTTTCTGAAAGAAGGAATCAAAGAAGAGTCCCAGCCTCCGTGTGTGCACCAGGTTTCAGGCACTGTGCACAGCCATTCCCCCCACTTCATGCCACTTCCGGTCTGGCGTGACGACTGTGTGCACTCAATCACTCACCCAACACTCGCCCACTGGGCATCCCTCTGGGGCAAGCACTGGGCCAGGATGGGAACACTGAGGTCACAGGCCAGCTGTGGCCCTGCACCACCAGCACAGAGCTCTGCAGACCAGAGAGGGAGCAGAGGCTGCTCCAGGGCCTGCCGCTAATCTGAGCCTCTGCCTGACAGCCAGTCCTAGGAGCCAAGGAACCCGGAGCTCGCCTGACTGCACGCATTCAGGGAAAGAACGCGAAACATGAATGAAAGGAAACAACCTGCAATAAACAGAGGGCCAATGTTCTCACGGGATGTCTCTCTTCAAGATTTCTAGTGATCTGGGACCAAATGCCCTACGCTCATAGCCTAGGGTGCTGGGTCAGAAGCTAACTCGACAGGTGGGCTTCCTGGGAGGGACAGAGGCAGCCAACACCTCTGTTCTCAAGGCAGACTGGGCTGGAGACAAGAAATGGTTAGAAGCAGTGAAAAATTCAGTTTCAATAACATTCATGCTGTTTCACTGCCTGCCTCAACCCTCTGTGGGTACCTGATGAACATTTCAGAGTAAAACGTGTTTGAACATTGGTCACAGAGCTGGGTGGCTTCACACACAGACCTCTCAAAGGCATGGAAGGGACATGGTACCAGTGCTGCCCGAGAGCCAGTGGTCAGCAGGCAGGATAACCAGGACGAGGACACAGCACAGGCTCTGTCCACCCTGCCCTGTGTGTGGCTGGGCCTGGCCACCTGGGCTCATGTCCCAAGGCACCAGCTCCCTCTGTCCCTCCAGGCTTGTCAGCCCCCTGCCCAGACTGTAAGTCCGAGGATCAACATGAGGCCCAAGGGCCATATCGCCCTGCTGGCCTGTTTGCTTTGTGTTTGGAAAAATCTGGAAATTTCACATAAAAACAGATTTGGGTTTTCTCTTTTGAGAAGGTCAAAAGATCTGGTGATATAGCCATGTGCCAGGAGGCTGGGCCGAGTCACAGCTGGCGTGCACTGTAGCTCCAGGGCCCCAGGGCCAGACGGCTCATGCAGACTGTGCAGGGCTGAGGCCCAGCAGCTGCACTCAAACAGTTGGCAGTTCCGTACCAGCCCTCATGGTGACACAGCCCTGTGGGAGCCCCTCTGGGCACCCTCATTCTATAGCACATGCTCTATGACCGTGAGGGCTGAGTTCTAACTCTAGTCTTGGGGACACGGCTGACCTTCACCAACTCCCGAGTCTAAGGGACAAGAAACAGCACTTTCATCAAGACAAAGGAGCTTGTGTGCAAACAGCAACACCACTCATGTGGCAAGCTGTCATGACCTAGACAGCAGAGCCAGGATGGGGTTCCCAGCATGAGCCAATGAGTGGTGGCATGATGGGATGTGGCCCTGGGGCTCCTCTGATGGGCAGTGTGCTTCTGGACATACAGGGTCCAGTGTCCTCACTGACAGCCCACGTTGGAGGCCTCCGGGACTGATGGCACACTTTGCTCACTCAGGGAGCACCAGCATCCACTGAACATGCCACAGCATGCCTGTGGCCTTGGGGTCGGTCAACGCTCTCACTCAGAAATACTACTGAGGAGGCCAGCCCAGCACTGCCCAGGCAGAGAAAGGCCTGCAGACCTCCTCCTTCCTCAGTGCACTGGGCTCCGGTCTAGCACAGGGACACATCTCAGCAGCACTAAAGAGGACGGCACGAGGCTGGGAATAGAAAATCATGGCAAAAGGGGAAACAGGCCATAAAGGAGAAGTCACGTATTCTAAGCCCATTTATGGAGACCCACCTTGCCAGCAATGAGAAGGAAATATCAGGCACAAGAAACGCATGGGTGCACAGCTCAGACACCCTGACATCTGCTCGGATCCTAAAGATTCCCTTCAGTATTCACTGGATAGAGCTCTGAGTCTTGACTTAAGGAAATGATGGGCTTTCCATTCCAGTTCCTAGAACCAAGCACAAGAGGTACCTTGCCACACACGGGGCATCCTGAGGGCTCCTTCTTGTAGCGGACCAGGTGCTCGCTGCCGGCGTCCAGGCCTTCTCTCTTCACGCGCCTCACTCCTGGGACACCCACCCAAGCAAGAGAATCAATATACAGAACACATGAGCATCAGTCAGTTTCCCCCTCAGCCCAGTGTACTTCCAGCTGGACGAAGGGAGGGCAGAGCTGCCCGTGGTGGAGGGACAGGTGAGTGAGTGGCGTCCCTTGAATGCGATGCCTCAGAGCTAAGCACTGCTCTCATCCAGCTCCTGGGGAGGCGGAGCAGCTGCACCCCCACAGGGTTCGGTCAACAGTTCTCACATATGAAACAGCTGGGAAAGGATGAGGGCAGCGGATGTTTCACGTTTTACCCTGAGGAAGAGCTCCAATGAGCTGCCGTTAAAGGACACAATTTTACTCAACCTAAGGGCTCAGGAGGAGGCAGGCACTTTTATTGAAAAGGCACAAATACTCATCCTTGCAAATTAAACTAGTCAGGATCTATGGTTTTAAGCATAATGGTTCATGATTGGGATCAAAAACAGACTTGTCTTAAAGAAGTCTACACGAAAAATGTAACCTCTGAATAAAACGAAGACAGAAATTCATTTATCATGGTTTTTGTACACTGCTGACCCATTCTGGAACATTCCTGCACACTGTGGTGCGAATGCAGAGCCAGACTTCAGAACACCCTTGCAAGCTGGACCTGAGAGACTACATCATTCTCCAAAAGACGCCCAGGGGCATAAAGCGCACCAGGTCTGAAGCGGGGCCTTACATTATGCTCCAACTTTAAGTAAAGGGAAAAGCACAAAATGGCATTACTTTACTGCCATGGAAAATGACTGGAGTTATGCGTCAGTTGTAAAATGTACAAAGCCGTAAAATGAAACCCAGGTATCTGACAATCAGGAAACCCCCAACTGCTTGAAGCACTGATGGCAGCTGGCACTTAGGGCCCACATGGGGCTCCAAAGCAGGGTCTGGTTCAAAGACCCACCTGGTGATGAGGGTGACCCCACTGTACAGATGAGGAAACTGAGGCACACAGCAGCTCACCCAAGGCCAGCCGGCTTGCTGGAGGCCCTTTGTGCACCGCCTGACAGACCACAGAGGAAAGAGCGGTGGGCCCGACAAAGCCACACGAAGCACGGCGGGTGAGACAGCAGAGTACAAAGTGACAGAGAACGAGGCCCCAGGCTTGTTTAAAAAGTGTGACGATGCCTGTGTACACACGTTTGTGTGGAATAGACTTTACACACAACTTTGTTTCCCTTTCTTTTTCAACACATATGCTTTATTTGCAATTCTTTGTAAAATGGTATTTTTCAAACTCTATGTAAAGGTGCTCAGGTCAGCAAGAGGGCAGTGGCTTTGAGGGTAGAATCAGGATGACCAAAACTAAAACGCTCACTCTAAAGAGGGTCTGTGCAAGCAGGTCTTCAGAAAGGCTGCAGGCGGGATCAGGACACACCTGCAGTCCAGGTGCTTCCCTGCCCTTGGCACCTGTGCCTCCCCATTCGGGGCTGCTGCCCGTGCAGCTGGGGGTCCACCCGTGGGGTCACCCACACCCCGCACCTCCCTTCCAGTCTTCCCTCATTTCCACTCACCCCACAGATGCCCACCTTTCTCTTGTGCCTGGTTCTCATAAGCCCAGCACACGGAGAGACAGTCCCCCAATGCCCCAAGCCTGCTATGAGCTGCTCAGGCCATCAGGGACCCCACGAGGATGAGCAACGAGGGAGAAATCACTCAAGGCCTCGCTAGCAGCATCCTCCTGGAGCATTCTGCCCGGTGAGCACGGCTGATCTCAGACACCATTCCTTCCCCACCATTAATCCCCGACAGCGCCTTTCCATGCTGGAGCCGGATGCTCAGAGGAAGATCGCCCACCAGAGGGGGGCACCAGCAAACAGAATCCCAAGGGGCTTTGCCAAGCTGTGCCCACCCCCCTGACGAGCTCCTCCCCAAGGCAGTAGGCTCACCTTCCAGGTGCCTCCGCTGGTGGTCCAGCATGACGTCCTTGCGGTAGAACATCTTGTTGCAGACTTCACAAGCAAACTTCTTGTCCCCATGCTTCTTCTTGTGTTTGGACAGGTTACTGTTGGTGGAGAAGAATCTGAAACACATCTCACACTGGAACGTCTTGTCATCTGTCCAGAAAGCAAGCCAGCACACAGCCACATTAGGGAGACGACACAGCACAGGCTCAACATCGGGCCATGGGACAGCAGAGAGGCCAGGTGCAGGGTGGGGACACAGGAGGACCACGCAGCCAGGGGAAGCCCCCAGCACTGCCGCAGCCTCAGGCGTCCAGCACCAGGCACACAGCCACAGGCCGAGTGCTCGAGGCCCCTTCACCAGGGGAGAGGCGCTCACTCGGCTCATCTCCTTCCACATCAACCCCGCCAGCCACTCTCCCCACGACACAGCCACACCTCCGCAGCACTGGGGGTGACGCCTCACCAAGAGCCCTGAGCCCCACCTGTCTGTGGTCAGCCCCTCCTGTCCCTGGTGAGCCCAGCTGTCCCTGGTGAGCCCAAACTGCCCCTGGTGAACCCCACCTGTCCCTGGTCAGCCCTACCTATCCACCTGTCCCTAGTGAGCCTGAGCCCTACCTGTCCCTGGTGAGCCCCACCTGTCTGTGGTGGGCCCAGCTGTCCCTGGTCAGCCCTACCTATCCACCTGTCCCTAGTGAGCCTGAGTCCTACCTGTCCCTGGTGAGCCCCACCTGTCCCTGGTAAGTCCCACCTATCCCTGGTGGGCCCAGCTGCTCCTGGTCAACCCCACCTGTCTTTGGTGAGCCCCACCTATCCCTAGTCTCCCCCAGCTGTCCTGGGCTCTCACCTCCCTGCGGTGACCTGACCACAGCTCCCACCCCTCTCCTCTGCAGCTTCAGAAGGGCCTCCCTCTTTCCACCTGGGGCTCAGCCCACCTAGTACCTCCCTTCTCCCCACTTCCCCAGCACCTTCCCACCCACGCCCACCCACCACCTGGTCTCTCCCAACTTTAGCCAGACGGTCCTGTTTCTGGGGCCCCTTTAAGAGATAAACACCCCATTATCACTCACACACCCCCACCCAGCACAGGCCTCAGCCAGAGCTCCCAGCTATGTTCTTTGCTCTACCCCATTACCCCCAACCTTCTCCCCACCAGAGTCCCCCAACCTTGCTCCTGCCAGGACATCTTTCTATCCGCAGGTCGCCGAAGCAGGCCCGCACTGCCCACCAGCCTGCCTGCATTGCCAATCCCAGAACTCAGGCCATGAGGTGCCCGGTTGAGCTGCCCTCCCCTCCCTAGGCCACCCAAACAGGTGGGTCCATAGCGTGGCTCACAGTGTGTGTCCCCACCAGAGCAGGGGCCCTTGAACACACTGTGTCACCTTCACTGCTGGGCCCTGGCTGGCCCACTGACCGGCTCCCAGAGTCAGCAAACGTTTGCCAAAAACACTAATCCCCAAGGCTGCATCTTGAAAACGTTCCCATTTTCTAGAGTGAATTTGACCGGGATTCTCAGTCTGCTGCACATCTAAGGACCCCCACCTCCAGGGGTCTCAGCTGGGGTGACATATGAGCTGGTCACTCTGTGGTGGAGTCAGCCTGTGCACTGTACATGACCGGCAGCCTCCCTAGCCTCCACCCACCATGTGCCAGAAGTGCCCCCTGCAGCCAGCCATGACACCAAGTGTCTCCTGACACTGCCTGATGCCCCCAAGGGGCGCCACCAGTCACTCTTTAGCTTCTCTCAAGTGATCCCACTGCGCAGCCCAGGTGGATGCCCAGGAGGCGTCTACACAGTCCCCTGAACCCATGTTCATGAGTATGCCGTACATGTGAACATGCAGAACATTCTCGTGCTCGTTTAAGTGGCTTCACAATATTCCATTCAGTTAGTTTACACAATTCACTCCATTATTATTGATACTGTAGGTAATTTGGTGATCCTGAGTATCGAAGCCTTCCTTTTCCTGTTAAATTCCTTCACATGTATTCTTAGGGACAGGACCACCAGAGACGAAGGTGTCTGCCATCTTTGGGAAGGGCCGTAAAGTCGGTTCCATCAGATCACTAAAGACCTGCCCTGCTAACCAGCACAGGTGAGCCTCCCTCCCACAGGTACCAACAGCACAGGTGAGCCTCCCCCCTGCAGGTATCAACAGCACAGATGAGCCTCCCTCCTGCAGGTACCAACAGCACTGGTGAGCCTCCCTCCTGCAGGTACCAACAGCACAGGTGAGCCTCCCTCCTGCAGATACCAACAGCACAGGTGAGCCTCCACCCTGCAAGTACCAACAGCACAGGTGAGCCTCCACCCTGCAGGTACTAACAGCACACGTGAGCCTCCCTCCCGCAGGTACCAACAGCACAGGTGAGCTTGCCTCCCACAGGTAATAACAGCACAGGTGAGCTTGCCTCCCGCAGGTACCAACAGCACAGGTGAGCCTCCCTCCCACAGGTACCAACAGCACAGGTGAGCCTCTCTCCTGCAGGTACCAACAGCACACGTGAGCCTCCCTCCTGCAGGTACCAACACTACACGTGAGCCTCCCTCCTGCAGGTACCAACACTACACATGAGCCTCCCTCCTGCAGGTACCAACAGCACACAGCCTCCCTCCCAGCAGGTACCAACAGCACAGGTGAGCCTCCCTCCTGCAGGTACTAACAGCACAGGTGAGTCTGCCTGTCTTGCCTGAGGGTTTCAGCCCTGGGCAAGTTCAATCTTGATTAGATGAGATCAAAAAATAACAATGGAACGTTCTTGGGGTGAAAGGGTTTGTACCCAACTTTATTCCCACGGTAGAAGGTCAAGCACAAGAATCCTGTCCTCCTCAGGGCAAGTCTGCATGCAGGAAGCCAGTCTCTGTGTCTGGGTCTCAGTCTGTCCTGGGTGCTGACACCACTCCAGCCTCTCCTGCAGCCGTGCAGCCCAGAGCACTGGGTGGAGCTCCTCATATAGTCAATAATACCATATTACCCACACATGTGTAGCAAGCAAGCCAGGGTCAGGTGAGAATCCTGGCCACAGGGACTTTCACTTCCTCCACACTGCCTCCTGCAGGCACTGACAGCAAAATGAGTCTCCCTCCCACAGGTACCAACAGCACGTGAGCCTCCCCTCAGACTAACCATGTTCTGCTTGAGGGCCTGGGTGTGAACCTTTCTCTAGCTCAGTCTGGATGGTCAAGGACCATTTAGATGTACCACATTAGGACAGGTCCTGCTGAGCGAAAGCTTGGCAACAACTTGTGTACGCATTTCAAAGGGCTTCTCCCCACATCATAAAAATTCTTGGTTTAGTGGTCTACAAAGGCACATGTTCTCTCAATGTGAATACTATAAAAAAGTGTGAGTATACAAATAATATATTATGAAAGTAGGCTGTTTCCAGGTTTATCCTTTACCTTCCATCTGTAATACCTAACCTTTGAAATTAGAAAAAAGTTATATTTCAATTCACTGCTGCTGTTATTCTACTTAAAGAAAGTTAAGCATCTGATTTAACAGTAACAAAAGCCAACTTCTTTCTCCACCGAGTCTGTTGCACCAAACAGCTGGTTGGACCCAGTCATCATTCTCCACTGACACTCTGACCATGCAGCATGTGAGTGGCCACACGGAGCTCCAACTCTGTCAACAAACACAGCCCACTCCTCTGACTGATCCTGCATTGATGGAAAGAGCTGGTGGATTTCCCCCAGATTCCTGGGAATACTCAGTATGCAGAGCTCAGAATGCAGGTGTGCAGCACACTGGAAGTTCATCTACAAGTTTCCAAAGGCACTTCATCCCACGGACATGGATGCTGGAGCTCAGGTAAAATGAGACTCAGAAAACCCTGCCGTGGGAGAAAGGCACCAAGGACGGAAGAAACAAGCCAGTGTTTCAAACAGGAGACCTCAAAGCAGAGAAAAATGGACAAAGGAACACAGCACAGGGTGCCTGCAGGGAGAGGAGCAGAGTTCTCTCTAATGCTGGTGTGGATAAAATGAAGGTTCCTGTAGCCAGGATCCTCACCTGGTCCTGGTTGGCTAGTTCACTACACATGTGTGGGTAATACATTGTTACTGACTCTATATAAACAGCTTCACCCAGTACTGTGTGACATGGTGGCACAGCTGCAAGGCTGTAGGAGAGCAGAGGCTGGAGTGGTGGCAGCACCAGGACAGAGACTGGGATGGCTGTGTGTGCAGAGGCCCAGAGGATGGCTGTGCAGGTAGAGAGGCCCACAGGCAGAGACTGGCTTGCTGCATGCAGACTCGCTCTGAACAAATGAGATTTTAGTGACTGATCTGACACCATGGAAATAAGGTTGGGTATAACCTTTTCATCCCAAGAACATTCTACTGTCATTTCTTTGGTCACATTGAATCTATAGTGAACTTGCCCAGGGCTGAAACCCACTGGCAAGACAGCTGGTTATGGATCTCTGAGATACTGGGCAGCCAGCACCTTAACAGGAACCAGCACAGCCATACAGGCGACATGCACAGATGGATGGGCCAAGAGGAAGGGAAGGTGGCTTGGAACCAAAGGCTAACCTGGCAGGTCTCTCAGCTGACTGCCACAATGCCATCCCACCTTTTGCTATGATTCCTAGAGAGAGGAACAAGGCAAAGACAACACAACCCCCGGCCGGACGCCCAGGGAGAAGTGCAGCAGGGACGGGAGGGGGTTCTCCCCACCGGCTGGGCTCCTCCTCGCTCCTCCTTGCCTGGCTGCACAAAGGGATTTGTATAAGAGGTGTGCTTGCCGGAGAGCCAAAGACGCGCCCAGGCCCAAAGTGGCCCCCCTCAGCCACAGGCTCAAAGAAGCACAGGGCTTCCATTGCAATCTGAGTTTCCATTTCACTTTGGAGATTGATGGACGACAGAGGCAGGTTCAGGACAAAGACGGTCTGCGCAGACAGCAACAAGGCCTGATCCTGGACGCTGGCAGGACTGGGGGGCGAGGCGGGCAAGGTGGGGCAGTGCTCTCTAAAGTATCACCCCACCTCCTTTTGTATTACCAGTGAGGTCCCAGGACAAACTCTACCCCACCGCTCACCATTCTTACTGAGGATGAAACCCACTGCTTCAGTGGAGGCTCAAATGTGGGGCACATATAGTTTCTTGAGTAATAGGAAGAAACAGATTTCTTCTTACTCAGGAAGTTTCCCTCTGTCCTTAGAATAAGTCATTACTACTTGGAAGCAAACGAGTGAAGGGGCATGTCAAAGGTGATGATACTTGTTAAATCCCTCTTTGCTCCCCTGCAAAGTTCGCCGGTTCCCACCCAGTCACAGGAGGGTCCGCTCACCTGTCCTGCAGTTGTGAAACTCCAGCGCGCTCTCGATGCGAAAAGTCTTCTCACAGGTGGCGCAGCGGTACCTGTACTCCCCGTCAACCTGGAGGTGGGGGGAGGGGAGGCCGTCAGCGGCAAGAGGGGGTTCCCGCTTGCTGGGCCGCTCCGGCAACTTCCGCGGCTGGGCGTTCACAAGGCTTTCTCTCCGATTCCATTTAGGAACATGGAGTTTTCCCTCCAGCCGCCCCCCATTCCCCTGCGCCTCGGCCTCCTCCCCGCCGGGCGGCCGCGCGGCCAGGGCCACCTCGACGTGTCCTCGGCTGGAGGCCGTCTTTTGGAGGCTCCTCTCTTGCCAGCGCGATCACTCAGTGAACTGTCAGCTCCTCCACGACCAGAAAGAGATGGTCGGCTCACCCACCTCATTCCTGCTGTGCTTGTAAGAAACATGCTGCTTCAGACTCTCCTTGCGGCTGAACAACTTGGCACATTCCTCACATTTAAACAGCTTGTCACCTTCGATGCAAACCAATAAAAGCGGATTCACTACTCCAGACGCACCTGGGGGCACGTGACACACGAGTACGCCGGGTCTGCGGCCGGGCAGCCCCAGCCAATGCACCCAAAGGGTATGCCCCCGTGCCCCGCCCCGCCCTCTCCCCCTGCCCCACCCCGCCCTCTCCCCCTACCCCGAGGCCTTGCCCTCCCCCACACTGCCCTGCCGCGCCTCCCCAAACGCCCCGCCTCCCCAGCACTCCGCCCTCCGGCAGCACCCAGTCCCCTCTGGCCCCGCCCACCTGACCCGCTCCTTCGCCCCGCCCTCCAAGGCTCCGCCCCACCCGCCCCGCTCCCATCGCACCGCCCTCCAGGACCCCCATCGCCCCGCCCATCGCCCCACCCGTCCAGTTCCTTCGCTCTGCCCTCCCCAATCATCCCGCCCTCCCTGGCCCTGCCCCTCCCCGTCGCCCCGCCCGCCCTCGGCCCCGCGGACTCACCGTGCGAGCGCACGTGCCTGCTCAGGTTGCTGCTGTTCTGGAAGACCTTGCTGCAGGTGCTGCACTGGTACACCCGCCTGTGCTCCCCGAGCTGCCGGACCAGCTTCCGCCGGACACCGTGTCGGCTGGAGAGAATTAAACTCCTCTTGAGCGTGATGGTGCTACTCTGATGGTGGGGGAACCTGCCAGGGCAGACAGACGCACTGGTGAGACAGGCAGACGGTGCTGCTGGAGAGGAAAATTAGTTGCAAGCATCTTGGAACGGCCTCACCCCCAACTCGGGGGGCTTCTACGAGGAGACACATCTTGACGGGACCGTGTCACCAGCCAGTGTTTTACGTACCTGCCACATGTCTGACCACATTTACTCCGGCCTCCAGGAAGCCAGGGAGACAGACTGTCTGTACCACTATGATTTCTTACTTGGTTTGGCCTCTACTCCCTGAACCTGATTTTTTAAATTTCTTCTCCCTATTATATGTATTTCTGATGGTAAGCCACCAAAATCCTCTCGGAAATAAGATTTAAAAAATAAACAGGTGACACTATTTCTGACAGCACTTTGGTCTCAGTCTTCAGTATTTCCATAGGTTCCCGGACTCCAGAACCAAGCACATTTTGACAATTATGAGGCACTCCAAAAAGGGCCCCCCCCGCAAAAAAAAACCATCAACTTATTCAACTTCAGTAAACAAATTTACCCAGGTAATACTAAAATACAAATATTTTCCTTGTTCACAAAAAGAAAAACAGAGCAAGGTATTCAATTCAGGTTACAGAAATCCAATACAGAACTGTTTTGATCATAGCCATTATTCACAACAGCCAAAAGGTGGAAGCAACCCAAGTGCCCAGCACAGATGACTGGATAAATGCGATGTGGTCCAGCCATACAGGGGAGTATTATTTAGCTTAAACGATAGGACATACTGATGTGATGAGCCGTAAGGACATGATGCTCGGGGAAAGAAGCCAGTCACAAAAGGTCAAATCCCAGTGATATGAGGTTTCTAGAGCAGTCAAAGCTTCAGACAGAAAGTGGGATGGTGGGTGTGTGGGCTGGGGGAAGGGGACAGGAGTTGGTGTTAATAAGGATGGAGTGTCAGTTGGGGAAATGTTAAAGTTCGGGAGATAGCTGGTGTGAAGGCTGCACATGAATGGACTTACCACCACAAAACTGCACACTTAAAAATGTCAAGATGATAAATTTTATATTACATGTGTATTTTACCACAATAAAATATTTTTCAACTGCTTTCACAGGGGATGTGCTAGGACACTCCACGGCTCTAGAATGCTCCTGCTGCTGCTGCCGAAGCACACCCACTTCCCACCACAAGAAATAAACCAGCCCCCTGGCCCCTGCAGGAGGCCTTACTTTGGCACTGAGCCCGAGTCACTGGTGGTGGCGGCCAGCTTCCCCAACACCAGCTCCACGATCCGCTCATCTGGCGTCACAGCCACGGGCTCATCTGGTGGGACCTCGGTGATGATCTCTGCCACTTGCTCTGTGCACAGGGGACGGGACAAGCCGTGTCACCACCAGGGCAGGGGTCAGAACACAACCGAACCAGAGGACACGCCCAAGGGGCCCGCCGCCAGGCCAAAGTTGTAGACATGGATTGCAAGACAGAAAAAAAAAGGAAAAGCTAGCATATTCTGGACTCCACTTACCTGCACATTTACAAGAGGAAAACGTTACTCCTAAAGTGGAGCTCTAACTCATGAGTGTTTTTCAAAACCACAGCAGTTATAACACTGTTTCAGTCCCTTTTCATACCAACCAAACATTTTGATATCAGGTGGGCTCTTTTAACTTACTAAATCAGCCCTCATAGAGAAGTGGAAATACTAATTTTTTAATTAGAAAGCCATACTGAGTATGTTTAAAAGCAGATACCATTTTGTACAAGAGTCAAATATCAAATAAGCACAGTAATAGGCATCTAGGCCCAAATCTCTGGAAAAAACTAAATGTGGGAGGATTACACAAAAACACTAAGCCACAGGTTTCTACCACTTCACCTAATGCAACTAATGTTAGTGACACCATCACTTAATAAGCGCTCTGCCCCCTTCTCTACCCATTTGTAAAGAGGTGGGGAGACTGCCCAGAGCACGCTGAAGCCACTCTCCTTCTATCATTTCCAAACAGGACACAGACTGGGAGCTACTGCACACCCAGAGCAGGAAAGGGTACTGCCGGGAATATTCTTAAAAGCCCCTCTGCACTGTTTTGTTTAATTCTGAGAAAGAATGAGCATTTCTTCTCACTCACAAAGGGAAGCCTGGGCTATCCCAGATGGCAAGAAGGAAATGGCCCAGTGGTCAGTAATGAAGGTAGGGGGAGCTGGGTCTGAGCATTGCCTCTGATCATCAGGATGAGTGAGGCCCGCCAGGAAGCTGCAGGGAGAGCTGGCAGAGGCCACGTGAGGACCAAGGGGACACAGGCCTTGCAGGGACTGCCACACCCAGAAAGGGGCATCAAAGGACCCTCCGCACTCACCTGAAGATGCTGTCACAGAGCACGAGCTTTAACCACAGCTCAGAAACAGCATACAAACCTGAGCAGACAGTGGGGTACCCACACAGCAAATGAGCGGCCAGACCCAGTGTGCATGAGTCTTACCCCACATGCTGCCTGCAAGATGCCAGGCACAGGAAGAGTGCCAATTACGTGAAATCCCAGGATGGGCAAGACTGAGTCATGTGACCACAAGGAGGAAAGTGGCTGGGGAGAAGGAAAGGTTCTCTATCCTGACTGGGGTCTGCTTACGAAGGTGGGCCCTGCTTGACAGGTGGTGCCAGCATGCCCAGCCTGCATACTCCAGGACATGTGCTCAAAGAGCCAACAGACAGAAAAGGACAAAAGCTTAGCCCTGCCTCGACACAGTCTCCCCACGTTGAGTTCCCTGCCCAGCAAAGAGGTGATGTGGCCGGCCTTGGGTCCCTCCACCTTCCCTGGGACCCACCTGCCAGGACCAGCCCCCTCCCGACTCACCTCCCAGGACCAGCCCTCACCTGCTGGCTCTTTGTCTTCAACGATGTCTAGAGGCTGCTCTGGTCTCAACGCTTTGGGTTTTCTCCCCCTTCGAGGCTTTTTCTTCTGCTCTTTGGTGGCACTGACACTGTTGGGAACTGAAGGAGGCTTCCCCTGGGGTGCCTCCAGCTCCTTCTCGGGAGTCACCTCGTGCTGGCCAGCTGGAGGAAGGCCTTTGGCTTGCTCCAAGTGACCCAATAGATGCTCTGCAGGAGAGGCGAGCCAAGCCACAGGTGTGTGAGGAAGCCCATCCCCCCACCCCCATCTGGTTTGTTTAATTGTATTTGCTGAGAGTGTGCCCTCTGCATAGGCAAATAAACTTTAGTTCCATTGCTTTTGAAAATAAAAGCTTGTCCACTGCACCAAACACAACTACTTTAAAAAAGTAAATTAGATGATAAAAGCACGGCAGGATCCCCAGGCACAAGTTCTGTGAAAAACAAAAGTGTGCCTACACACAGATGTGCCAAGACAGACTGGGGAAGGACGTGTCCAAATGGCAGTGTGGTTCCCTCCAGGCAGGACATTAGAGGTGATTTTAATTTTCTTCTTCAAGCATATTTGTAACTTTTAATGTGTCTGTGATGAATACATAACACAATACCTTAAAAATACAGTTTCTAAAGAGAATACTGCCAAATGCTCAATTCAGGATAAATAAAACTGTGGCTTAAAGACACTGCATGAAAGCAAGACAACTTTGCCCTTTCCAACTGAAGAATGCTTTAAAGACTTCCAGAGACCGAGGCAACAGGTGGGCAGGAATGGGCGCAGAAATCTGGGAATGGACTGGCAAACCGGATGGCAGGGCCCCAGTGAGGAGGGGGAGGGATGCCCCACGAGAGGCGGCGCCTGTGAGCACACAGGCCTTTGGTATGCAGCGGCTGTTATTCTTCATTCATTCCATATCTAGGGCATGGTGCTGGGTGAGGGTCTCAAGGAACTCAGTCTAGAGAGGATTAGAGGCTCAAAAAGCAAACACAGCCAACAGGACCTGCGCCATAGGGAGGGTTCAGGCAGAGCAAAGCCAGCTAATGAGTCCGCTTGGCTGAAAAAACACCACCCCTTACCATTCAGGAGCTGCAGCTCAAGGAAGGTGGTGGAGCACACTTTACACGCCCACTGGCTGGGCTCTGAGTCCACAGGGGCGCTGTTCTCCGGAATGCCTGCAGCTGCAAGGAGTGGACAAAAGGTGAGCCCCAGCAGCGGCCTTCCTGCACAGCTCCAGCCCAGAGGGGAATGCCCCTGAGGGGTGACAGTGACTCAAATATACCAGCTCGCCCTGGTGAGCACTCTCAGCATCCCTGGCCCCACTCTTATTTTTTTTTTATTTCTGGTTTATTTATTTATTTATTTTTTACTTTGTTATCAATATACAATCATATGAGCAACATTGTGGTTACTAGATTCCCATTATCAAATCCCCACCACATAACCCATTACAGTCACTGTCTACCAGCGTAGTAAGTTGCTATCGAGTCACTACTTGTCTTCTCTGTGCTATACTTCCTTCCCCGTGGCCCCCACCCCCGCTACATTATGTGTGCTAATCGTAATGCCCCTTATTCCCTTTCTCCCTCCCTTCCCACCCCCACACCCCCATTCTTTTCCCTGTGGCAACTGTTAGTCCCTTCTTGGGTTCGGTGAGTCTGCTGCTGTTTTGTTCCTTTAGTTTTTGCTTTGTTCTTATGCTCCACAGATGAGTGAAATCATTTGATACTTGTCTGTCTCTGCCTGGCTTATTTCACTGAGAATAATACCCTCTAGCTCCATCCATGTTGTTGCAAATAGTAGAAATTGTTTTCTTCTTATGGCTGAATAATATTCCATTGTGTATATGTACCACCTCTTCTTTATCCATTCATCTACTGATGGACACTTAGGTTGCTTCCATTTCTTGCCTATTGTAAATAGTGCAGCGATAAACATAGGGGTGCATCTGTCTTTTTCAAACTGGGCTGCTGCATTCTTAGGGTAAATTCCTAGAAGTGGAATTCCTGGATCAAATGGTATTTCTATTTTGAGCATTTTGAGGAACCTCCATACTGCTTTCCACAATGGTTGAACTAATTTACATTCCCACCAGCAGGGTAGGAGGGTTCCCCTTTCTCTGCATCCTCACCAACAATTTGTTGTTCCTAGTCTTTTCTATGTTGGCCATCCTAACTGGTGTGAGGTGATATCCCATTGTGGTTTTAATTAGTATTTCCATGATAATTAATGATGTGGAGCATCTTTTCATGTGCCTGTTGGCCATCTGAATTTCTTCTTTAGAGAAGTATCTGTTCATATCCTCCGCCCATTTTTTAATAGGGTTATTTGCTTTTTGGGTGTTGAGGCATGTGAGTTCTTTATATATTTTGGATGTTAACCCCTTGTCAGATATGTCATTTACAAATACATTCTCCCATACTGTAGGATGCCTTTTTGTTCTGCTGATGGTGTCCTTTGCTGTACAGAAACTTTTTAGCATGCTGTAGTCCCATTTGTTCATTTTTTATTTTGTTTCCCTTGCCCAAGGAGATGCGTTCAGGAAAAAGTTGCTCATGTTTATATTCAAGAGATTTTTGCCTATGTTTTCTCCTAAGAGTTTAATGGCTTCATTACTTACATTCAGGTCTTTGATCCATTTTGAGTTTACTATTGTGTATGGGGTTAAACAATAATCCAGTTTCATTCTCTTGCATGTAGCTGTCATTTTGCTAACACCAGTTGTTGAAGAGGCTGTCATTTCCCCATTGTATATCCATGGCTCCTTTATTGTATATTAATTGACCATATATGCTTGGGTTTATATTGGGGCTCTCTAGTCTGTTCCACTGGTCTGTGGGTCTGTTCTTGTGCCAGTATCAAATTGTCTTGACTACTGTGGCTTTGTAGTAGAGTTTGAAGTCAGGGAGCATAATCCTCCCCACTTTATTCTTCCTTCTCAGGATTGCTTTGGCTATTCGGGGTCTTTTGTGGTTCCGTATGAATTTTAGAACTATTTGCTCTAGTTTGTTGAAGAATCCTGTTGGTATTTCCCTGGCCCCACTCTTGGAGTTTGACACACAGGCCCTCGTTCGGTCCTCCTAAGTACCCACATTTCATGGATGAGGACACTGAGTGTAGAGGGTGGAGGCACAGCAGCCTGCTTCAGGGCCTGTCCCAGGCATGGAAATGTGGCTCCTTCCAAGAAGCTAGTCCTGGGGGCCAGACACATCTCTTCATGAGACTCCAAGAAAAAAATGCATCCTACAGACCAAACTGTCCTCCTTAGCACCCCACTGCCCATACAGAGGGTAGAGGAATGTGTGCCCAGAGCCCATGTGCAAGGACAGAAATGCTCTATAACTGTACTGTCAGCGTAGCAGCCAGTGGCCCTGGGGAGATGCATTTTTAATTTTACTTAATTTGAATTTGCATTTATATGGCTGCCTGTCCCACCAGGGCAGAGCCTCCGGCCTCTCCTCGGCACTCCATATAGCCTGGAGATGATGGCCTGGAACACAGAGGGAGGCCCTGGCTGTGAAGAGGGAATTGCAGCCTCCTTTTTAACAAAAAAATCACTGATGCTCTTGTGAGACCTGAATGTTGGGGACATTCTGAGAGTATGTGTCCCTGATTTCCTGGCCCAGCTGGGTTTCCCTGAGTCTGGTGGGGCAGCCTGGCAACACTGGCCCACAGCCACCAGTCCTCACCACCACTCTGGCCCCTCTCACCACACAGCCTGTTGATGCCCATGAGCCATCACAACTGATCCAGGGCCACTCATACAGCAAAACTCCTAGGTCCTTAAAATACCATCCAGAATTGCGACTGCACATATGTACAGTCCCAGAACAGAGCACAACTCTTTCTGTATCAAACACTAGTAATCAGGCTACAAGGAATAGAAGAAAAAGAGGGAGGCCATTGCTGTAGTGGTTTGCATGCATTTTCTGAGTCTTCATAAGATAACAAGGAAGAAATATAAATGCAATATGACATTTTTTGTTATACTAAAACCAGAGCTGCATCAGGAGCAAGTGCCTAGGCGGCAGGTGTTTGGGGTGCCCCATCCCGGCCTCTGCTCCTCTGCACTTGCATGCTGGGAACCCACTGGTTGAAAATTATCAGGAGATTGTGGACAAATGGGAGCTGGAGCCCAATTCCTGCTTCACACTCACCTCTGCAAACACATGTGGGAGCTTACAGAAAAGCACACCAGCAGGTGGGAGTCTCAGGGAAGGAAGCCGAGGAGTGGTTAGCTGTGAATCAAGGCCACTTCTCCACTGCAATGGGCTGCGGTCTCCCGCAATAAGGTTTCCACCCCCACAAATGCAAATGCAAACCAACCTGGAGCAAGGACCAGGGAGCTCTGCTGCCCACATGGCGGGACTAACTAGGAGAACTAGTTGTGACCTGCTCCCTCATCAAGGGAAGTGCTCTGCTTCCCAGAAATGATCTTAAAAAGATAAATAATTTTTAAGAAAAAGAAATAGCCAACAATCAGAAGGCAATTCTTGACTACCACTTAAATGACCATTGAAGCAAAAGGCCACACATTACAGCCACGAAAATGAGGCCACAGAGACAGAATTAACAAGGAAACACTGAAGACAAGATGGTAAGTAAGAATGAGCGTGTAAGTAAGAGGAAGCAACAAAATGGCCTCAACTATATAAAAACTCACAGGTTTTCAAAAGACTACAAGAGAGATGGCAGAACCCACAGGGACATGAAGTAGCTTGCTTGTGTCACAAGGGGGTGGAGTGCAAAACTATATAGAGCAAGAAGTTCTAGATCCTGACTGTGGTGGGTTTACACAGCTGCACACTTTAGTCAAAGCTCTCTGGACTGTACACTTGAAGAACTGGTAAGTTTTGTTACATGTAAACTATTATGTCAACGTGATTTTTTAAAAATACTATGTTAGTAATAAATGCGGAGTCCTTATTAAAACGGTGATGTTACATGTGATTCAAACTAGTTCCCCAAATGGTATGAAATGTGTTTCTATTTAATCTGCTGGTCACGGCAGCTGATTCTGAACCCGACATGCTCACCCGTTACGACCATTCGTGCTTCTTGGGCCTTCATCTGTCCAACAGGCCCAGGTTTGTGTGAAGAAGGAAAAACAACATGAGCTCAAGACAAATTAGAAAAGCAAATGCACTACCAGAAGAAAACAGTAAAAATTAGTTTTTTAAAGAAGCACGTCACTGCTCTTTCAGGTGGAAGCCACCTTTTCTCTGTATCTCCTGCCACCTCAAAACTGGCTGGTCACCACGACAGAGACGCACGGGGAAGCAAATCCAAAAAGGAGACAGAATAAAGCCGGTGGGGCTGGGCTCTTCTGATGCTCCCCGGAAATACCCTGAATGATTTACAGGGAAGACCGCTACCTGTCGTCAGCCCCAGCACATCCTTCTGGAACACACTCACAGAACCCCGACCCCACTCACCGTGTTCGCCCCACCCACCCCCGCCCCCCGCTTTGGTCCAAAGGCACAGTGGTGGCCACACAAGGCCCCTCCCCTCCACCGTACAGCCTGTCTCAAGGGCACGTCCAGGCCTGGGCCAGGATGGGGAGGCCTCAGTGCTGAGGCCAGGGGAAGCCACCTCCCCGCCTGGTCGGACCTGGGTGATGGGCACCAGGCAGCCGCCACTGGCTCTGTGTTCTGGGTCTGCACAGGTCCCGGTTTCCACTCCAGCCTCCAAGAAGCGGGCAGGGGCAGGTTCCCCATGCGCGGCTACGGTAGGCGAGGAGCTCAAAACACACACTGGAGATGGCGCTGGGGGTGGGCAGGGTTCTAGAAGCTGCCCTGTGTCAGGAGGGGGCTCCTGCAGAAGGCGGGGAGGGCTTCGGGGAGGGGCTGGGTGGGGGGTGTGGTGAGTCATCACTGATTCGCCAGCAGGCGCCGGTACAGTGGCGGGGTCACTGGTCACTGGGGCCCTGGGGAAAGCCTCCCGGGGTGCACGGGGCTGCGGAAGTAAGCGCCCACTGGCGGGTAAATGCTCCGAGTGCTCATTGGTGGCAAAAGAAACAAGGAACCCAGCTGAGTCGATCATGGTCAATGGCTTCCCTACATTTCTAAATCCTTGCCACTTGTCCCCAAACGGACAGTGAAAACCCTAAGATGTACTTCTAAAATTTTAAAGTACCTAAGTCACTTCTTTATTTTCCCAATTCAAAAGCTTGTTTAGGGTGACAGTGCCTTCCAGTTCCGCATGATCTTGGCATAATTAATGGTGTCCTATGTTCTTAGAAGGCCAAAGGAGGAATCACACAGTCACCCTAGCATTCCAGAATAAGAGCTATTAGGAAGCAGCTGCGTTGGTCAACACAGTCCCAGACTAATTTCATCAGAATCTATTTTCTCAAACTCAGCTCCAGCTGAAAGAGTTTACCTATAGGTAAAAGGCAAACAGAACAACTTTAACTCTGATAAGGAGTAGTAATCTTCACTTTGAATTTGACCTTGAGAGTCAGGGAAGGGTGTGACATCACCCAGGACACAACTCCAAGGTCAGCCTCTAATAACCCAAACCCCAGTGCACAGCCTTGGCTGGTCCCGGGGGGATACCCCGCTCACCAGCTGCTCAGGTCACAAGGAATCAGGACACGGGAAACCAGGTCAGGAGGGGCTCTGAGAGCTCGGACAGCACGGGTGCGCTGGCCTTACCAAGCTGGGAAGTGAAGCCTGATCCAGCAGGGCACCGCCGAGGGGGGCCTCCTCAGGTGGGGGGCCAGGCCACGTGCCTGGTTTTAGCAAATCCTACCGGGTGGGGCTAGGAGCAGCAAGGTGACCAGCTACGGGTCTCTCCAAATCCTGTCTGCCCCAAAAAGGTCACAGTCTTCCTCTGAAAATATCTCTGGGAAGGGGGCAACCCTCAGTAGCAACCAGAGTCCAGTGCAGGAGGCTGGTTCCCCACTGACACTGCCCAGGGGCATCCACGGAGGCTCCACACTCCACCACCCCAGCCAGCCTGCAAGGGGTTGAAGAGTGGTCCCCCAAAATTCACGTGCACCTGGAACCTCGAACAGGGTCTTTGCAAACATCATCAAGTTCAGATGGGATCACCCTGGATTACAGGGGGCCCTCAATCCCGTGACTGGTGTCCTTACAGGGCGAGAGCACAGAGGCCACGCAAAGACAGGCAGGGCTGGGGGATGCATCTACAGGCCAAGGAACACCAAGGGGTCCCAGCAACACCAGAAGCCAGGAGAAAGGCCTAGAAAGGACTGTTCTTCACAGTCTCCAGAAGGAACCAACCCTGCTCACACCGTGACCCTGGGATCGGGACCCCCAGACTGAGTCAGTCCATCCCTGTTGTTTAAGGCCCTGTGCGTGGTGCTCTGTTCCCGCAGCCCCAGGACTCCCCCCCCCCCACACCGCCTCGTGCTTAACCAGGAGGGGCCCATTGGGGAGCTTTTCACTAACCACAACCTCAACAAGCACACGTGACAGGCCAGAACCTCCCAGGTGTGCAGACTCACTTGTAGAGCTGTTTTGTATCACATCATGTTCATTATAAAAAAGAAACCATTTCCTTGCCAGAATCCTGCCCTTTTAGGGGTCAGAAGAAAGTGCCTATTTCGGCCCCAGCAGTAACTGTGGCTGCCCCTGGGAGGTGTCAGGCTGAGTACTGGAAACCGCTGCTCCAACTAATCACAGCTGCCAAGCGTCACAGACTTCCTGTGGCCTCAGCTTGCACATGGTGAGTGGGCAGAAAGGAGTCAGACTCCAGGCACTTGACAAAGTGGGGCCCAGGCCCTGGGCCAGCAGGTCGCACATTCTGGATTGTTCTTCCAACAGGAACACTGCCTTTGGGCAGCATTCCCACACGACCTTCACTAGGGCTTTCTCTGAACACACACGCACACATATACTCACACAGATGCATGTCCTGGGCACACACCCAAATCTGGGAGCTACAAGCACCATCACTCGAGCCAGATTCCAGGTTCGAATCCTGCCTCCTGCATTCCCAGCCCTGTGACTGGGGGCAGGTTCCTTAGCCTCTCTCTGTGCTCTTGTCTCCGCAGTCCAAATATAGGGACACTCATCCTGCCTAGAGGACGGGAGGATGAGTTACTCTGCAGAGCCCTGGGGCCAGAGCTGAGTATTAGGCGTGTGGTGTTCAGTGCCTAGATATGCCAGGGTCGAACTTCCCACCAGCCGTCTGTGTAGGGCTGAGCTTGTCCAACTGTCTATCAGCCCAGATATTTAACAAGCAGAAAACAGACCCAGGCATGGGGGTCAAGATCAGCCCCTCGGTGCTTCCCACGCCCACAAGCTCACAGGCATGATTCCCTCACTGAGGTCAGTGACTGCAGTGACCAAGAAGCCATCAGTACCCACGCACAGCATGACAGAGGCAGGGGACAGGGCAGAAAGCTGGGCATGTACCGTGGGCACTGGGGCAGGACTGCTTCAGCATGGGCTTGTCCATCTTCTTGGCGTAGAAGGCCGCATACCACACCCGCAGCTCAGTGCCGGCGGGGATGTCGCGCGACGTGGTGAAGTACACGTCGCTGCCGTGCTGGAAGGCCGTCAGGTTCTGGTGCTCGGGCTCTGCCGCCGGCCGCACCAGCATCATCCAGTTGCAGTCATCCTCGTTGGAGGTGTCGAAGCACACGGGGTGCCTGTCCTTCTGGAACACCTGCAGGTCAGCACAGCCGCCATGAACGGCAAGGGAGTGGGTTACCCAAGCCTACACAGCAGCATGCGTGTGCGGGGGCTCCTGAGCAAGCAGTGCAGACAGCAGTGTGTGGAGCCTGGCCAGGCTTCCCAGAGGACCCATCTGGGGTTTACAGTGGGTAGCAGGGTCACTGGGGGACCATGTGGCTTACACAGACCAGGCTGGTCACAGGCAGAAAGCAGCAGACAGAGCAAAAGGCCCAGGTGTCTTTGGGCGGCCCGGTGGGGAGTCGGAACACCTGCTCCAATTGGGAATTAGGAGGCCTAAGTTCTGCTTGTGATCCAGGTGGGCACCTGAGTTCTACTGCTGTCCCAGGAAGCACAAGGAAACCTGAGTTGTACCCTTGGGCTCCACATGGGACCTGTTTTCTGGAATTATCAGGACCCCTAAGTTCCATATGTATGGCCCAGGTGGGAACTGGGACATCTGAGGTCTATTCATGGTCCAGGCATAGAATCTGGACACTCAGATTCTCCTCAGTTTTCAGATGCGCCATCAGAGTTCTATTCCTGCTCCAGTGGCATGAGGACGCCTGACTTCAGCTCCCGGTCCAGCTTCCACTGAGACACCTGAACTCTGCCCCCAGTCCAGGTGTCATCTGGACACCTGATTTCTACACATGGCCCAGCTGGGATTTAGGTTATATGAGTTTGACTTGTAGTCCCAAAAGGCATCAGGACATCTGAGTCCTTCTCCTGGCTCTGTTACAAGTGTGTCTACTGACTTCAGCGAAATTCCTCAGTCTTTATAAGCCTGCTGTCATCTGTAACATATCATGGTTGCTTTTTGGATTAAATGCGGGAAAGGAGCTGGGGGAGAAACAGATATTTTGAAGTTCAAAGTAAGTGCATGAGTACAGGCGGTTCTTGTCCCCTATTTTCCGACACAATCATCGCTTCCTTCTGTAGGAAGAACTCTCCCTCATCCTGAACTTTTCCTGTAGGGACTTCCCATTGCTAACAAGCTAGAGGCCACTTAAAGGACGGAGCCCTCGGAAGTGAAAGGAGGGTGCAGAGAGAGCCACCAGGTGCCTAAGGACCCCCAGCTATGTGGGGTCATGCTCCCAGTGGGCCTCCATCCCCCCAGTAGGGGGCATAAAGCTGCCCCCAGGCACATAGTTGCTCAACACTGAGGGTGTGCTGAAACAACTCAAAATCACACACAGACCTGGAGAACCCAGTCACTGAAAGACACCAAATGGGCACCAAAAGACTTTCCCAAAGGGCATCAGCCCAACCACATGCTCACAGAGACTGTGTGCATCGACCAGCCCCAAGCCTTTGTGGGGCCTGGCCTTAGGCCTCTTTGCATCATTCCTTCACATAAAATAGACTTTCTTTTTCTTTTCTGTAAACAAATCAAATGCCATTCTTTCTCCCATTTTGCTGAAGTCTGCCTTGTAAGCTGAATTTTTCAAAGGGTGCTAAAAATTTGAGGTTGTCTATTTCCCCTCTGACCTGAAACATTCGCCTCTGTAGGTTAATTGTTGGGCTGCCAGCACCCTGTTCCTCACTGGTATGTTTCACAGATACACAAATGTTCTGGGGAGAGGGCTACACCAGGGGCGGGGACAGAACCAGAACAACACTGGTGTCCCTGGCCTCATGGCCCTTCCACAAGTCTTATGTTAAGTACCTGAAGTCTCTTCTGCAACTGACATTCATTTTGTTTTTTTATGTTTCACATAAAAGCTATTTTTTTCCAGTTTGATGTGCTTTTTAGAGCTACCAAAGTTTGTACTGGTGTCTAATGGCTGCCTAAACAAAACACCTTCCATTTGAAAGAGCTCTGCAAAGTACCATCTACTCTGCATAGGTGTGACAATAGCTATACGGACACACTCCTGCAAAAAACCCAGAAATCACCATGCCCTAAAGCCTGCGAGATTGATTTAGGGTGTCCTGGAGAAGTAAAGGCAACAATTTGGGTCTCCTCTGGCATATGTAATACACTCTCAAGTTTTGCAAAGTTGAAAATCAGAAAATGCTAACTTAGCTTTGATGCCTTTGTGATATAAAAACAAACTAAAAAAAGAAAAGAAACGTCTTGAAAATTAAGAACTATAATATTTAAAGCTGTTTCCAAGATATTTATAAATCACTGAAACTCAGTGGTTATAGCTCCCCATTGGCACAGGAGGAAGGTCGGAAAACATCCAGTTGCTAATGTGCTGGCACCAGCCTCTACCTTCAGGGGAAACGCAGACTCCTTCTCCCATTTGGCAACCCTCCTTGACTCAAACGGACCAAACTGCGTGCGCTTCACGAGCTGAGTTACAGCAAACACTCCCTCGGCTCCGTCATCTAGTCGTCTGATCTCCAAGTTGGAAGGAAGGGATGACCTAGAAATTGAATAAAACAAGAAACTCTCAGCTCCTGAGCACGTGTTGGCTGAGGGGAGTGCCAGAGAAAGACAGCAAAGTGCCCCACACTCAAACGAGGGAAGGGTTTCCAGCTAGGATGAACTGGGGAAGCTGCAGCCTTTATAACTAAACTAGGAGAATGGCAAGGATGTGACACTGGAGGAGGGAGGCATGTGGGCCAAGATCCCAGAATGAGCAGAGGCGTGGGGGCAGGGCAGACCCTGGGGCACCGGGATGAAGCAGAGTCCCTCCCAGGAATGGGCAGAAGGATGGTCGAGCCAGAGGGCCCAATCACAAAGGGCTACTCTTCCCACCAGACTTCTGTGTGCAACAGGCAATTACTAGAGGCTTGGGAGACTATCTCTAGGCAAAAATATTAATCTCCTTGTTTTGAGAAGTTAAGTCACGGTGAGAAAAAGTAAAGAGGCAAGGAAAATACGTTGGAAACCTTCTAAAAATAATACCGATAACAAGTTCAGCGCCTCCGTGTGCCAAGCGCTGTGTCCTGTGTGATGAGGACAACCTCACAGGGGCACTGTTATCCTCCCCACTGCACAGGTGAGGCCACCAAGGTGTGGACAGAAGAGAGCCTCCTCCAACTCCAGACAGCTCCCACGTGGCAGACGTGGGCTGTGAACTGGGCAGCCGCTCAGAGCCCTTGCTCTGGCCTGCCAGGTGACATTGCCCCTCCGGGAAACACAATGGCAGAGCCCCCGAGGCTCCTCACAAGGCCTGAGGATGTTTTTCCAGAAGCCACAATGGCTTTGCCTTGTTACTGGCACTGATGGCCCAGCGCCCCCAGCCCCCGAGCCCGCCTTGCCCTCTGCGGGCATGTCAGATGGCAGGCCTCGACCTGGCCACGGAGAAAGCTGAATGAGCAGGCCCACAAGCTGGGCCGCAGCGCCCGCCACACAGATCGACTCGGCCCGCTAGCCCTTGCGTGGCTGCCGTGTTGCGTCCTGGGCAGCGCTGCTCCTTGGGAGTGGGACGTACACTCTAATGCCTCTGAAACTCCTCTTGGCGCCTCCTGGTGGCCGGTTGCGTGGTGCACAGCAGGACAGAAATCGCGGGTGCCCTTGGGCGTCCAAGGACGGCCTTTCTTGCAGCCCTTCTTATTCCTCCCTCTTTGCAGACAGAGAGGCTGCCAGGCTCTCGCCACAGTCCCCCGCCCTGTCTGACAGGCAGGACTGTGAAAACAGCCTGAGGCGCTCACTCACCTTGCCCTGCTTAACACAAAGGAGTCTTTGACAGTGACCACAGGGCCCAGCTCAGGACACTCGGAGTCATGGTACTGGCCGCAGTCCTCACACCCTGCAGGCAGACATCTGGATGTCAGAGGAGACGGCAGGGGGAGATCTGGGGCTCCAGGCCCGGGAAGCGCAGACTCCCTGCCAGCCACAGGTGACCGGCATGCCTCCCACCAAGATGACCCAGCTGTGCAGCACATTTCAAAGCACAGTCACCTGTATGTTGATGGAGAACATGATCTCCCCAAGGAATGAGAATAAATGAAAACTCACCAATTTAGCCTGTTTATTGTAAATCAAACATCTTGTAAATCTCTAAACCCTTGGTCTACTTTACTGAATCAGCTGCCACTCCCTGCAAAGGGCCCTTTGCCAGGAGGTCTGAGAAAATTGGCTCTTCTACAACCACACCTCTGCAGTGCGTTTCTCATGTAATAAACTGTGTTTCTAAAGCAAGCAAAATAGCTTCAATTGTAAAAGAAAGCGGTGCTACATCATGAAAACACAACGTGGACATGGCTTTGCCCAGACAGCAAGCACTGTGCCCATGTGCATCTGAGGACAGGCCACTTACAGACGAACATGATCTCCTCGCTCCCATCGTCGGCCATCTCCGACACCTGTCGGGACACCAGACAGCACTGTTAGTGATGAGCTTTCTGCCAAAGGAATTTTTAAAGATGACTCCTGCTAAAGGCCCCCAGGAGCCTGAGCAGGAACCGTAGCTTGTCTTCAAAGGCAACATGCAGTGGGGTCCCCTTTACTGTGGGATGGGGCTGGGGGCTCTGAAAGGTTTTCTCGCCTAACATAATGCTGTTTTTAATGAAAGCGAGAGATCGGAATGGCCCTCAGACCAGAACATCTCTGTGACCTCAGGCTCACATCTTTTTATATCAGCTGTAAAGTAATACCTTACCATTTTTAAAAAAGCCCATTTTCACGTACTACTTCTTTTTTCCCTCCTCTGTTGCTGGACAGCAAAGTCCTCAAGGGCAATAGCAGCGCATGCAGTCTGTCTGTCTGCAGCGCCAACCTGTGCCCAACACACAGCGACACATGGTGACACCTGCTTCTCCAGGGACTAAAGCTGCGTGGAGGGGGCTCTCCTGCTCCCCACAAAACCCCTTCCATCCGGCCCCTTCCGTTTCCTACTGACCCTTAAGGTTCACCTCAAGAACCACTTTCAAGCGGGCTGAGCCTAGGCACCCGCCACATTTGTGGGGTGATCTGACATCTTAATTCTGGGGCCCTCTATTCCTGACCATGAAGCAGAAGTGAAAGTGCTTGCCTCATGCAATTCGGGAGGGGTGCCAAGTGTGACACACCCAGCATGTACCCCTGGGCGATCGGTCCCCCTCTCTGCTCCTACCACCCCATGTAGGCCAACCCCACAGTCTTGCAGCCCACCCTGCACGAGCTCAGTGTGCCCAGCAGGTCCTGCCTGGGGGAGGCGTGCAGGCGGCGCTCCAGGAGTGCCAGCCCCATGCGCCTCGTGCCCCAGCTCTGTCCCGGCAGCCTGAGCAAGGAGAGGTGGGTGGTGGCAGCCCAAAAGAGGGCTCACGCCTCCACAGGTTTCCAGGAACAGGGAGAGCTGGGGGAGGTGGGGGGAGCATCACTGGGGAAGACGACTCAGTTCCCAGGAAACAGGGCAGACACGGGGCTTCAGCTTGCCCTGCAGTGCCAAGGAGACGTCACCAGGCGCTCGTCCCAATGCAGCACAGCATCTGCTCTCTTTCCCCGGGTCACCTGTTTAGGTTAGAAGGCGCCTTACGTGGCCCTAGCAAGTTTAGCTTAGGGGTTCCTGCTGGACAGGTACATGCATGTGGCGAGAGGCCAGTCTGGAGTGGGGACCACAGGTCACCAGCAAAAGGTGAAGAGGGACAAAGAGGCAGAAAAACACGGAGAAACCTGCTTTACTGAGTTACTGAGTTGCTTGAGTGCCCCAGGAGCCTGAGCACCCACCTGCCGCCGGCAGGAGCCCACCTCACAGCCAGCACCGCTCACGGCCCAGGGGGCCTGAAGAGGCAGTGGTGGGTTCGGCCACCCTGCAGTGGGGCCACGGCAGAGCACGGGACCTGCTGCTTGTCAGAGTCGGGGTGTGGGTGGAGGGGCCGCCCTCGGTCTTTCCTTGTGGGAGCCTGGATCAATCCACTCAGGCCTGGTGCGCCCGCCTCTCCTGCTGCAGCGCTGGCCTCTCAAGGGGAGGCGAAGCAGACAGTCTCCTGTCCCCCAGATGTCCCCAGAAAAGCTGCTCCTCCAAGCATACCTGCTGGGAGAGGAAACCAGCTGAGACTTTTTCAAAGTGGCCACAGGAAAAAAACAAGCGGAGACAAGAAACACCTCCAAGTTTTATCTTTTTATTATACTGTGCTCTTGTCGTATTTTAGCATTTGAGTACTGAGAATAACATCCTTTAGTAGTAGCATGTGGTCTCTGAAACATGGCTTCTGAAATGGCTCTTTAAGCCCAAGAACACAGATCATAGCCACCCTGGGCAGCAAGTCAGACCTGAAGGAAGGGAGCATCTTGGAGACTGGGCTCTTACGGCAAAATTACTTTAGGGCTCAGAATATTCCTTTGAAGAAAGATGGTCCAGTCTCCAGACTTTTGCAGCATGAGAGAAATTCCAGAGTAAGGGGTATACATAGTGGTGTTTCAGGAAAAATGACAGAAAGACTTAAGTGTAAGATTCAGCCATTTTAACTACCAATCTTGGGAAAATTTACCTTACACCAGTGGTTCTCAAAGGGTGGTCCCTGGACCAACAATAGCAGCTGGAATTTCCGAGAAACACCGGAAATTTCTCAGAAATGCACGGGCTTGGCCCTTCCCCAGACCCACTGAGGATGGGATGATGCCCTCTGGGTTTTCACAGATCTCTAGGTTAGTGAGGCAGCCCAAGGCTGAGTGCCACTGCTCAACCTTAAATCTTTTTAAAACTTAACATGCCAAACTACTAAAAAACCTACCTAACCATAGCCACGATCACTGGGAAGCATAGCAACAGATTCAGGGACCCACATTATCATCAGTCGGTGAGGTTCAGAGCACGAGCATCTGCGCATAAGTTGGCAGGAAATGGGGAGCAAGGGTAGGTGGACAAATGCTCTCCATGACACCTGGACTTACACGGCAGGCCCCAGGATGACAACTGTTAAAAACAGTTTTTGGAAAAAGAAGAGGAGGAATGGAGAGGAATCAGTCTATCTGACTCCAGGCTTGATTATAAAGCTACAGTAAAGGCTGGAGTCCCGGTGAAGGGACGGAGACGCAGCAGCGGAAGCCGCGAACAGGCCCGCACAAACACGCCCACCTGACAGCTGACAGAGGCGGGCTGCTGCCCAGGAGGGGAAGGCCACTGTGGCCACAGCACCAGCACACCCGTGGGAAACACGGGATCGCGGCCTCACGTCTTACACAAAGATCACATCCCCATGGGACATACCTGAAACATTAAACAGTCAATTTCTTAGAAAATCTTTGCGATCTAAGGCTAACCAGTTTTGAGACTTGTCACCAAAAGCATAGCCCATACAAGGAAAATTAAATTGGGCTTCATCAAAATTTCAAATTTTTGCAAATTTTATAGAAGGAGCTGTTAAGAGGGCTAAAAGTTTGTTGAAATCTGGCCTGAAGTTGGATACTAATTGTGTACAGGGCTGATCAGTTCGCCTACGGACAATGCTGTGGCATTCGAATGAGAAGCTTTGAGCCCTGTGGACGTGCTCACACACCTTGCTGCCTCTCCTATACAATTGTACGTCCAAACCAAAGAAGAGCTATTGAAGCCAGGATATGGCCAGCAGAGCAACATCCTGCTGCCAGCCCCATCTGCATTAAGCTCAGAGACACTGTTGAACATTTCGACACATGGACCAGTGATGGTGACCCTTCTGGCACCTTGGGGGAAAGGCCTGGAAGCTGGCCTCTTGTGCATTCCTGTAGTAACAGCAAAGTGGCCAAAGATCACAGTAGTGTGCCCAAAACGTGCAGGAGGTAAGAGCATCTGATGGGGAAGTTTGTTTTATCTTTATGGCCAGTGTATGTACCTCCCGTAGCCCTATATATCGACCCACCTGTAACTCCCACAGGGATGGGGGTGAAAGTCTGGTATACTAGACCAGGACAAGACCCCATTCCTGCCACTGTCCTATCACAGGACCCCTCTCTTGCATGTATCCTACCTGATGGACAAGATTTGCCTATGCTGGTGTCACTAAACATTTATCTTATCGTCGTTAGGGTTATTTTCTCCTACAGTCCTTGTGGCCTGAATGTGCCCCCTGGCTGCAGCAGCTGCGTGACTGCTCTGAACCCTGGACTCCTGCCAGCCTATGGAATGACGAGCTATGGCCTTAATCTGCATAAGACTGTAAACCTTGCTGAATCCTCCTGCTTGAGGACTGTCATAACTTTATCACTGTTACTATTGTTATGTCATTAGTCTGGTCACAGTGCTCTAGTTTTCTCACCCAGGGACCATTGTGGAAGAAGGGGAATGAGTAGATTGTAAAGCGAGATTTCTGGAGGGGTGGCCTGTGGGTAAAAGTGTAACATTTCCAGAATATCTGGCCTGGCTGCAGTGTATCTGCATATCCTTGGGGGTGGAGAAGTTCATCTCCATGTCAATGGGTAATTACCTGGGCAACCGAGGGCGTGTCTGAACGGGAGAGTTTAAGGGGGGAGCGGCTGGCTTGCTTGCTTGCTGACTTCTTCCCAAGCAGAGAAGAAAGACGGCCTAGGACTGCAGTTTGTGAACAATAAATGGGTTTTAAACTTTATTTCTCCCTTTGACTGCTTTCGGTTTTTAGAGGTATTTTGCCCTGGGATTTCCTCTCCCCGGCCTTACAAGGGGGGTAAAAAGACAAGAGGAAGACTGGGAGGCACTTTTACAAACCATGTATCCAAATCTAGAATACGCAAAGACCTTTCAACAGTAAAAATACAGTCCAATCAGAAAATGGGCAGAAGACAGAGAGAGACAGTTAGTGAAAGAAAATCAGAATGGCAAATAAGTGAAAAGATGTCGAACATTAGTCGCCAGGGAAATGCAGGTCAAACCACAACATGATCTCACTACACGTGCACCAGACAGGCAAAAATGCTGGTGAAGATAGGGAAAACCTGGGGCGCTTGTGAGTGGCTGGTGGGGACGCAAACCATGTGGCAGATGCTGTTAAGGTCAACATGCCCGGGGTCTGTGACCCAGTGACTTGCGCTTGGGGGCCTTAATCCCAGAGAAAGAGAAACTTGAATTGCACAAAAGCCTATACAGAACTGTCCCATAAACATCTCTTCCTAAACCTCGTTTGACTTCTTGGTTGCTCTGGACAGGCCCTACTGGCTGGCTGCTCTCCTGAAGCGTCTCCCCCCGGATCCTCCTCCACCTGATCTGGGCCCTGGCCCTCCTTGGGCTCAGCCCCAGCCCCTTCTCATCTCTCCTCCAGCTGGACCCTCTCCCTCGGCAGCCACACCGCTCCTGAGGCTGACACGAAACCATATGGGTGCTGGTGACTATTCGGAATTCTGCACGTGTATCCAGCTGTGCAACCACACCTTGTCTGGAAGGCCCCTAGCAGCTCAATGTGCCGGTTGTCACAGACCTGGACTCTGGCCCCCTCATAGCCCTAGACGTGGACTCTACCAGCTGCCTCCACCACCTCCCCTGGCCAACCCCAGCTTCTCCCACTTGGAAGTCCCCGAGGGCCTCTGAATGGCTCTTCCTGACCCGCTCTGGCTAACCAATCCTTTCCCGCACTGTGGACGGGCTCTTCTAAAACATGAACCCAATCAGACTACTTGCCAGCCTGAAACTTAAGGGCTTCCCACTGTCCCTGGGACAAAACCCAAACGCATCAGTCCACCTACCGGGCGCTGACCCTCTCAGGCCATAGCAGCCTTGTTTTAGTTCCCAGAAACACATTCTCTGCACTTGGAACTTCCTTGGCTCTGCCGCTGACTGACACGACTCACTCTTTACATTTTCGCTTAATTGTCACTTCTTTGGGAAGGGTTTTCCTGACCCTCCCGTTCCGCAAGAGCCCTGCAATTTCCCTCCACTCTGCTTTTGAGCACTGCAGTCACCTAGGTGTGTATGACTTATCCACTGAACCTAAGGACCGAGAGGGAAACACCCAACAGCAGGAGCTCAGTGCCTGCAGAGCGTGCCACCGTGAAACCTGCTAGAGAATCAGCCACTTCACCTGGACTTCCCTCCATGCCCTGCGGCCTCCCCCCTCTGGGCCGCCCCCCAGCTATGGAAGCGAGATCCCCTCCTGGGGTACAGCCGCTTGCCCCAGTGTGCTTCCTCTGCCCATGTCCTCCCCACTCACCCATGACCCACCAACCCTTTCAAGACAGAGCCCAGCCTCCCCCTCCAGACATCTTCCTCTCCGTCCTTTGCTCTCCCCTCCCTATATCCCCAAATAAAGGTGACTCTTCCTATTAAACAGTCATCTCAGGCTGTCATATAAGCCACAGACGTCTGGGTTTTTTCCTAGATTTCTAACAAAAGCTTGATGTTGATCTCTCTATTCACTCCCTTTTTAAATTAGTATGTACTCGGTATGTAATACTCCACATAAATGAGCCTTGATATCTTTTGACTGGACGCCATCTGTACCTCCAGGTAATAAGAGTTGGTTGGTGTGGGTAAAACCCTAATATTTCCAGAATATCTCGCTGGGCTTTAGTACATTTGCATATCCTCAGGGGTGGAGAGAAGTTCATCCCCATGTCAATGGGTAATTACCTGGGCAAAGGAGGGCATGTCTGAACCTGAGAGGTTAGGGGGAGGTCCTTGCTTGCTTCTGCTGGAGTAGGAGAGAGAGACGGCCCCAGGCTGCAGTTTGTAAGCAATAAATGGATTTTAAACTTTATTTCTCCCTTTGACTGATTTTGGATTTAGAGGTATTTTGCCCCAGGATTTCCTCTCCCCGGACTTAACATCTGGCATACTCAGCAGGACCTCTGAATCTGAAATGGTTGCGACCTTTGGGAGGGCTGCCCCTAGAGATGGTGGGGAGATGCCCAGAACCCCCCTGTGGATGGTGGGGAGGTCCTAGTGGATACAGTGGCAGAGGGTGCAGCTTCACCTATTATCCCCCCCAGTTGTGGGGCTTCCATTTGGGAGCTCCTAGTGGGGAATTGGTCTAGGGTAAAATACCTCCTAGAGGGGTGGGGCCTTCCTCAGAACTGGGGGAGGGTGGAGACATCGGAAGCTGCAGAATTAGCCCTCCGTGAGTTGGAAGGCCGCTTGGGAGAC